AGATCATATTATACGTTTTCGTTTACGAGAAAATGCGCTGTCTGTCACTCACTGCAGTGAGTACTTAGTAATAATTGTTGAACAATGGTGTTACTTGATCTTCTTTCCAATCGGTCGGCAAAGGCCAAAAACAGAATTAAACAGTGGGGAATGAAACAATGAAACATAAAGCTTAGCTGTTTTCATTCTCAGCCAATGAGGATGCCTTTACTTGGTACCGCGACCCTGAAATAGCTTGTCATCACCTATATACACCAGCAATAACCCGATAAGTACTGTAGAGGCGGTTAGTGCTAGCCATGCAGATACAACTACAGTGGCGGAAATCGCTATACGACCACTCGGTTTTTTCTCGCATAAAAAAATATTGGATTCTAATTACATTTAAAAACGGTTCCAACGCTGTACGAAAAAAAAATAATTTTTCAATATACAAGGAAAAATGATGAAATTTAAAAACCCAGGTGGAAATGGTTATAAGACCAAGAAAGGTTTTTCCGTTTCTGGATCCCATACACTCGTTTCAATAGGCAATCTCACCTCCTTTCTCCTTAATTACCTCAATGCAACTTCTCTCCATGCGATTTACCAAGTAATCCCGATTCATGCCAGGAATTTTAGATCAGGAACTAAGGGTAGCCGTGATCAGGTCACTCACAGATTGGAACTGGCGCTCATTTTGGTAAACATCTCTCGCCATGATGCGCCATAGATTTTCAATGGGGTTGAGGTCAGGACTAAGCTCTGGCCACGGCAACAGAGTAATATTCTGCTCTTGGAACCACATGTTTGCTGACTTCGAGGTGAGAATCGAAGCAATGTCTTGATGTAAAACATATGTTCCCTCATGTTTCTCATCGGCAGACGGGAGAAGATGGTGAATTAGCTTGTGCTTGTATGCCTCGGAATCTTGTCTCCCTTGTAAAATAGCTGGAGTACATTTTCCCTTTCGGCTGAACGCCTCCGAAACCATAACCGAACCAACACCAGATTGCGGCTTGGAAAAGAATTCTGGCTCACTGCCCAGGTGGTGCCAATATCATTGTCATCCATATGGACTATCAAGATTGGACTTTTTTTCATCACTGAAGATAATCCCTCACCGATAAGCACATTTTTTATCAGCCAGTTTAAGTAGGTTATTAATATGTTTTTGTTTAAGCATAGGGACATTTTTCTGCGTCATGTACTTGAATTTCTTCGAGTCATGCAATATCTGACGGATTAACTCCAGGGGCCAATTTTATAGAAGTAGAGGTCCCAGTCGATTAATTTTGGGGTTGGTCCAGGGTACATTTATGATCCGCGTTGCCGTCCGGATTAGCAAAAAATGTTTGTACAATGGTTTTTGAGCGTTTTATTTCCTTTGCAATGTCCCGTTGGCTTCTACTACATTCCGCAAAGACCAAAATCTGCGCCTTCTTGGCCTCTATGAGTCCTGCAGTTCCCATTGGCACCTTTTTTACTTCGAAAAATATAAATGAGAACACTGAACTACACCAGAAGTACACCAGTAGTACCCTAAATGGCGAAAATCAGGATATTCTTTAAGTTCCTGTACTTTTTAATGTGAAAAAATTACAATAAGATACTAAAATGAAGAAAAGCCGATTTTGGTCTTATAATAACCATTTCCACCTAAGTTTTTCTAAATTTAATCATTTCTTCTTATATATTTAAAAAATTAATTTTTTTTGTGTAGCGTTGGAACCATTTTTAAACGTAGTTTAGCCTCGTATAATTAGAATCCAGTATCTTTTATACAAGAAAAAATATTCAGAAAAAATTGGTGGTCGTATAGCCATTTCCGACACTATATATAGTGGCCTCCAGCGCCAGTGGCTCGAGTACTGCAGGATGGTCGAGTTGGTAAAAGTTCAGAGCACCAAACTTGGAGCAGTGAGTTGTGTGTTCGATCCCAGCAGCAAACAGCAACAGTTCTTGTCAAAATCGTCATGATGGCCGGGCTGTTAAGAACGCTGAATGTGGCGCAGGGAGTTGAGTACGTGTTTGCGACCAGCAATAAGCTTTGAAACAACTGAGATATTGAGAATCTGTGGTCATGTCTACGAAGAGGACTTGAGAAAAGGATTATAACACCTCAAAACATCGAGAGAGTTAGAGCAGCATTACTGCAATCTCCGAAACGCTCTGCTCGGAAGCAATTATTTGCTCCTGGCATTTCAAGACGTTCTCTTCACCGGATTCTGGAATTAGAGGATACATGGTTCTAACAGGATGGTGCCACTACACACACAGCGAGGGTTACAATGAATTGTTTGAGGCAAATGTTTCCTGGACGGCTTATCTCTATGAGGGGTGATGTGACCTGGCCAGCACGCTCACCAGATTTAGCCCCATGCGATTTTCTCCTTTGTGGTTACTTTATGTCCAAGGTGTATATCAACCGCCCCAACACCTTGGAAGACCTAAGGAACAATATTGAAGCTGAAATTGGCAGAATACCAGGGGACATGCTTGTTAGAGTTCATGAAAACTTCGTAAACGTATGCAACATCAGTGTGTGGAAAGCGAAGGTCGACATTTGCCAGATATACTATTTAAAACCATGTAATTTATAAATTTCATTCCTGTTCAGTATAATTCAAATATCAAATAAATTTTTCTAATGATCATAATTTTTTTATTTCATTCCCAAATCAGCAACTTACTGCGCGCCACCTTTACAGGCACCTTTACAGGCAGCGGAGCGACTGCGAAAAAGAGAAATGAAGATAGATTTTTACAGAGAAACATTTCTTCTGTAATTAACTTTGTGATGATTTTTTCACTGGGCAATGTCCGATGGATTTTATACCAATTCCGTCATTTATTCGTGATTTTTTAATTAGAATACGCAATTTATTGCAATGAAGTATGAGAGCGAAGATTGATGTCTAATATGGCCGTTTGAAGATTAACAATGCTATAGAATAGAATAGTGGGATAAAAAAGGGATATATAAAAAAATGAAAAAGTAGGATAAAAGTGGGAAGATCTTAACCTCAGCAAAATGAAAGGCTGGGAGGGGAATTTTCATTTGTGGACAGAGAGCCATTTAGTTGGGCAAACATTTTCCTCTCTGTAGGTTTAGTTAAGAGCAATACAATTGTTCATGACAGGCGCAATAAATACGATCGTTAGACTAGGTATCCGTATCTTAGGTGAATCAAATTCAATTATATTAGAGCGCTCATTACTTACTACAGAAAGGAATTCATTTAGCAGACTAAGATTTATTTTAGGACTTCGTGAAAAAAATAATCAAATATATAGTTACGGTCACTTCACGGTCAATCATAAAGAATGCATTAAAATAAAATTTTCGCTGCGCTCTGGTGCTGGCATGCAGTGATGCTTTGACACAAAGGATAATATATTTTGATTAACGTGCAAATCGGTTTCAATCTTTGATAATTCAGATTACGATTCAAATAAAATTTAATATTCAACGTCAAATTATTCAACAGGTTAATGAACAAGCTCGAAATATTTTATCTATACTCATGTTTAATTTTAATCGTATAAGTTAGGGTACGTATTATTCTTAATACTTAACTTCTCGTTGACCATAAAAACATTTAAATTTTCCAAATGGTTAATATTTTCCTGATTCAATATCAGTTCTTATTCTATAGTGGAGAAAGTGACACAAGAAAAGTTTGAATCGTGTAGTTGCATGTCACTCTTCAGTCGTGTTTGATCATGCACAACTGACGATAACTTATTTGTACATGAAAATCAGCCAGCGTGACAACTTTGAAAAGCATCCTGATAGATTGATAAGACACATTTCTCTGATAGAAAAAATTACCTTGAAATTAATTTGAGAGAATGGAAGCTCAAATTTACATAGTTGATAGCATTGATAATCGCTGTAAGATTATGGTTGTTATTTAGAATATGGTAGTTAATTTAATTGAGTTGAGCGCCAGTTTGATTGTTAACTTAAGTAAGTCAACACTCAAATTAAGTAAGTTACCTTTGAAAACATTTAAAATGAAACTAAATGTTGTGTATAAATTCGGTTACGGTTCAGAATAAGAGGAGATATTTTGAGGTTTAAAATAGATCTAATTATTAGACAATGCATTTTATTAAATTATTTTCAAAAAACATTTTTTAGCGGCCTCTATTGTTAGTTGCCCATACGCATGTCCGTGCATGCAACGATGTCGTTCATCACGTTGCTGTACTGGCATGTCTGCTTATTTTCGTCTTCTACATGAAATTTATTTCAATTACAGTGTAGTACTTAATAATTTAGTGTACAAATTCTCCCTCATGTGTTCCTGAGAATAATTATGAATCACTCAGATTTAAGCTGACGGCCACGATACGCTGCAAAGAGAAAGAAGTTCAGTGTGGTTTGATCTAATTTAAAATCCATAATTTAGGTCAGTATTTAATGGTTGTAAGTCCAATTTCCGGAATACATTTTTCATATTCTCAATCGTAAATTTTGAGTGTCAAATCATTTAACTATATCATCATATAATTAATTATATCGGGTACCATTCTGTTTTGATGAAAAAGAAACGGCCGCAAGCTTCACGATACTCCAACCGTATCACTCCTATATTTTTTTCAGTTTCCTTAGGCGTCTACAATATGCAAATTTTCTTTGCAGCCTAAGATCTGGACTGAGAAAAACGTTCTAGAACGATTTTACTCTTGAAAAGTTTCATTTTCTGCATACTATAATTGTCATTTAGCAAATTTCAAGTTTTTTCGATTAAACAATTTTCAGACGCTGAATAACTTTCTGATTCCGTTCTAACATTTTTAATTTAGCAGGTGTTACCAAATGCAGCAATTTCAAAAGACTCAAGAAATGTTCAGAACCCCATACCACGTCCTCATCCGTTACCGTTCTATTCTTCCTTTTATGCAATTTATAAACTTATCTATGTTTAAATAAGTCACTTAGCAAAACTTTTAATTTAAGGTTCATCTTGATGTAGTCGGGTTGTGTTGAAATTTGGAAAATGAATAAACAATAAAAATTTATTTTATTTATAAAATAAATATAGTCAATCATGCCAGGATACGCAATGACTGATGAATTAAAGTACACGGTGACACATAATACTCGTTCATGAAGTAAAATCCGCAGATCATCGAACAAGATGGCGAGCAGGAGATATCCGACACCATCATAACTGCAGCTCGAGATTTTAGTTTGCGCTGTAGGCCTTCAATCATTTGTTGAACACAAATTATTTTGACAAATGTTCTTAGTCACGAGGTGATTGAGCAAACGTTCTGTGAGTCACGAGGTGATCGGGTAAACGTTCTGAGTTACGAGGTGATCGAGCAAACGTTCTGAGTCACGGGGTGATCGGGGAAACGTTCTGAGTCACGACGATCGGCGACTAGCAAATCGTGAGTCGTTGAAGGGATTCCTCGCGGTCATTTGTATTGTAAGTCGTTCAGGATCAAAATTATCTTAATTCTACATAGTCCTAACTTCAACTCCTATAATCTAATTAATTCAACAAAATTTTGGTAAGAAAAACGAAGGCTATTAATTATGTGTAACAAAACAATGAACATCTCACCGTATCTCGCAACCGTTCTACTTAAAAGTTAGTGTCTTAGCCTAGGAATGAATCTCAATCGAACGGTCGGACTAGAATTAACAACAACTCAATGAAGGCATTTATAGTTAACAATGAGGTGTGAAAAAATGATGTGTAATGGCATACATTGATTATACACTGTGGTAAACAACAAAATGAGATCTTTGGGTACAAAATTCAACTCGATACAAGATTGAGGAATCGAAACAGTTTTTAACCGAGAAATTTTAAAGAACCCAGTGCCTAGGTTCTTCTCGGGTTTGAACGGATGCCCAAAACGGCCCAATGTACACCTGCGACTTGCTGCCATGAATTTTGTGGCCCAGACATTCTTGAGCAACCATGTCTGCTTTATGTCCTCGGTAGACCTCTTGCGAAGTAAAGCTTATTTTGTCGCACGAAAACTTGCAGATTTGGCCGTTGGTGCCGTGCACTCTGCGTAGTTGGTATTCCTGGGGGTTGTCGTGGTCCTTGATGCGAATGTCAAACGAGACGGGCAGGACTTGCTCCTCAGGGTAATCCTCGTTGAAGGATTCGTTGCAATTGCAAGAGTTTGCCACTGGAAGGAAAAATAAGAATGAGTATTCTCATTGCAAAAAAGTGTTGTACTATATTATAGATATTCAACCAACCCTTGTTTAAGGCCATTACCGTAAAAAACTCTTAACAAAGGGTTCTATTGAAAAATGTATTATAATTTTTTTAAGATGAGGTGTGATTATAATAAATTATTTAACATGGTCCACAGATGAAATATACCAAACCGTCCTTGAATTCATAACAAAGTAAAGAGTTATATAGGAAAAAATTGCATACATTAGAAGGAGGTTGTCGACTATACAAATAAGAGAGCTCGCATCACGCTTGCGGCGCATGCCAAGAGCTAACTTAATGCTGTTGTAGCCAGAGCCGACTTAGGCGCTTACGTAAGTCTAGCTGAGTGCATTTGCCCAGATAATTGCATGCCAAAATGGGAGCAAATTCTTCAATATCGTAATGCAATTGAATTTGATTGTTAAACTCGTTAATTCAGGTCATAAACGGTGACAAGCGAAGGCAAGAAATACTGTTGATGCGTTGAAATGGAATGATTAATGATTACAAGGCAGCAGGAATGGATAAAAATTCATAAGTTGTATTTTCTGATTTAATTGAATCAGTGAAAATCTAGGTGGAGAGTAGCGTTTATCAAGGGTGAATGCTATGTATACGCGACTGTTTGTCTTAAAATACATTGCACTTTATTCCTACAGAATTTCAAGCCTTACCCTGGCCGCCGTTTCTTCTTGGAGATTTCTTGCCTTGGATGGAATAAAGACTTCTATCGTCGGCGACAATGACGCCTTGGAAGCGAGTTCCGTCTTCGTCGAAACATAAGGTGGCATTGCCACGAATTTCCACGGTTTCAAAGAGATCAGAATATGAACATGACATCGTACGGTTAGAGCCTCTCCGGATGCGGCCCAAAGTGGGGCTGCCATTATTTCTAAATGATGAAAAGCTGGACTCGGAGAACGAAGAGCTGTACATGGGTAACATTTCGGTAACCATTTTCAGCTTGTCTAAGGTTTCCAAAAAATGTTAAATTATGCAATTAGGTTATCAGCTGCAAATATCGAAAATAGAATCAGATTAAAGCGTAGACTGATGAATCAATCGTTTATAAGTTTTTAATTAAATTGTCAGTCGAATAAATTCAACAATTGATAAAAGCTTGATGACTGAGCAAACTCACAACAACCACACCGCACCGCAAGTGCTGCACTGGCAGTGCTGATCCCTGGCAGTTCTTTATATAGCCTCATCAGCCCCTGCCCCTCCTTCCATGCTGCAGCAAACGGGTGCCGCTTACGTCCGATGTTGTTCGTAAGCCTAAAGTCTGTGATTGGCTAGAACGTAGACACACCTCAACTACGCAATGCTCAAGAGCTTAGCCATTGGGTGTTATGAAGAAATCAAGGTCTTTATGGTGAGCCTGACATAACAGGTTATAACGAGTGCGCTGACTAACTCATGAGTTTGACAAAACGGGTTCTCTTAGCGAAATCATCGAAATTTACCTCGCATAAGGCACAATCTGAATATAGTAATTGACAAGTCTAGTGGGAACTGTTTGTGCAGCATATCCAAAACAGAAATTTAACCTTAAAATAACTTGAAATTAAATAAATTTTAGCCTATGAAATGGAATAAATTTTTAGCATTGGAATGAGTTTGGCTTCATGACCACAGAAAACTGCATGTCTACTATATGAAAAAAAAACATTTTTAACCAGATAACCGTGAAATGTCTCTTTAATCTACGTAATGGTATAAATATTAATAAAATACCTTACTATCGTGGATAATAATAATAAACTCTATCTCTAATTCCTCAGAAAACCATCACATAAATGCAACTTTGTATAGCGGCAGCGTCGTCGTGCGAGCGCGTCATGCGTGCGCGGGATGCACATGCAACGTCAATGCCATATAGGCTGTCAATTAAGGTGCTGTGATCAGCAGACGACCGAAGCAAGCATCAGTAACTCAAATACTCATTTAATTATAAATGCTTTTGTTAAATGTTCATGCGCCTAATTTTACTCTGTTTGGATACTGTCTAAATTTATGGTACTACAGTCCATAATAATTTATTTTCTGCATCTTTGTTAAACAGCGAAATTTATTTGAGAATTAGAATTTTTTTTTCTCTTTTTCACCCGTGAAGGTGAGATATACGCAGTGTGATATACGTGTGATATACGCCAGTAAAATGTTATTCTATGTTTGCCACTAACATTTTATAGGAAAACAATTAAGTATGCTCTGGCCGATTTAATAACGAGCTAAAACGTTTAATGACTTTCATTTCTGTTGCGTTGTTAATTTTCGAGGTCCTGAATGAAAATTCTTGTAGGTATAATGTTTTCAGTTTCATGCAGTACAGTAGTGTGGGTGATATTCACTGAGCCTTGAGTGGCATATTTGGTTGTTATCCACATTTGCGTGGCATCATAGGACACGCCTGTGTGGGACGGACAAACATGTGTGGCGACTTTACATCAATTTGACCCTACAAGGACATTTGCACTGAAACTTGTTGCCTGCTCTACAAGCGTGGTAACATCACGTAAGCGTTTATTTGAAAACCTTTTCTGTGCGTTGTAGCGTCTCTTAGCACCATCCCCCCGCCATCTTCAAGGCCGCCTATTGATAGCTCCTCTCAAGGTCGCTTGTTCTTCACTACGCACATCGTAGGCCACCGTCAACATAAACATAGGAGTCGTGATGAGCTCAGTGCTCACAACCGACCATATTGAACATGCACTAAAACTTGGTTCCATGCCAATTATTATTAAATTTTTTAAAAGAATATTCTTCGCACGTTACACATCGTAACTAAAAAGTCGTTGAACTTTGCAAATGTTTGTATATAAATTCTTAAACTTTGGAGATTCAAGGGAATCGCAATGTGAACTAGATATGCCTGCCACGAGATGGTGTAATTTTGTGTTACATGATATTTTGTTTGCCATATCAGGTGTGGCCGTGACCATGGACGTGCACATGTATATTCTAATGATAACGCCGAGAGGCAGCTGCAAGCTATCAGCTAGCAGTAAAATGTAAATAATATCATGTCAAACCTTTTTTCCCGCAACACGCGAAGCAAAAGAAAAAACACGCGCATAGAGAGTTCAACATTTGGGTACTGAATCGAATGTGTTCAGGAATCAAGTTCAAAACCTGCGTCATGCTCAAGAAATATTGCTTTTGATAGTTTCACAGCAGATCGACAGAGAACCAACTTAATAGATGCCTCTGTAAAACCAGTTTCGACGGCTCACTCTTCATCGCAGCGTCTATTCTTCCCTGCGCTTCTTCTCCATGTGATAAACTCACTAAATGAACAAACGGAAATACCGAGTTTCATCAAACGTCTGTATAGCCATGGACGTCTGCCAACGCTCTTTCAACACATCCCGCGATGGTTGCTTATTGCCAGAGGGTGAGTAAAATTTTTATTCATTAGTCACCTTGCTATAAAAGTGTTTATCGTGGGATTCATGTATATCAATTCAGCAAATTATTTCCTTAAGACACCAGTAACGCCCACGGCTTCACACGGCTTAAATATGTAAATCATCCAGTCTAACATTTTGGTTACACCTTGATTTCCTCAATTTACACATGATATACGCAAAAAAAAAGAGATTTGGTATGGAGTTTGCCTTCCACTTGGGCTTGGAGTCATATGGCAGAGAGCTCCCGGAAGTAACAGTTAGGGTGAAAATACTTAAGAAAGAGTGAAGATCTTCGCTGTCAATGATCTCGGTTACAAAAATTTATATAAATGCTGCCTAGGTCATGCTGCCAGAGTTCAAACTTATGTCCGTGTTGCATAGCAACTGTGGGCGGCTCCCCCGCTGGTTGCTGCTTTACTCTTGAATGTTTCCTCCCTCTCCATTGTATTGTGACATCACCGAGTCTAGCACATTCTTTTGAACTTTTTATATGTGTTTTTAGTCTGTCTTTTTGTATGTTTTAGTCTGTACAGAACAGACTCACAGTTCTTGCACTGGGGAGATTTCGAGAGTTGCCGTGCGAGTTCGACAACTCGTCCTCTGGACTTTGGACCTTCCATTTAAAGTCTTTTTGCCTGTACCGTCTGATGCAGCTGTTGAAATTATTCTCATATAATGAAGCGTTTGCCGAGATGAAGTTCATCCATGTAAGCCTAAATCTATGACTCCTATCTGTACTATTCATTGAATAATTGAACTAAAAAATTTGTGAAGATCATCATTCACCATGAAACTCATTGCATTACAGTCAATTCCTAAGTGTGAGACAGAGACACCTTAGCGATCATCAAGAAAATCACGCATGCAAAATTTTCAAGCAAGGAGGCTTACACTATAGAGACTCTAAAGGCTTAGAATTTGAAAAGTGATTCAAATGAATGAGAGCCATTCATCAAATTGAATTATTAGCAAACTGCTTGACAAAGGTTTGTCATCTGTCAAGCAGTTTTGTCCTTTGTCAGCCGCGGACCGGTCAGCGTTTGATAATTTTTTGTATGTGGATTTTTAAATCTTATTATTTAATAATGAAATATTATTTTACAGAGAAATATAGAAATTAAAAATAAACGAAAAAGAAAAGTGTATTAAAAATAAAGAAAAACATAAAATTATAAATTGTGTTTCCTCATCAAAAAGAACAATGTTCCTGTGCTTGGGGAGGAAAAATTCGCTAAAAATAATTATTCATAATAAAATAAAATATTTTTTATAAAAAAATGAATAAAAAATATAACTCAGTACTCACAGCAGTGAGTGACAGAGAGCGCATTTTCTCGTCGACGAAAACTTGAGGCCACGGACGGACGGACGGACAGACGGACGGACGGACATGGCGAACACAATAGTGCATTTTTTCCATAAATGAGAAAATGCGCTAAAAATTATAATTGCGGTACATAAGTTATATTGACAAACAAAACTAGTAAAGAGAACAGAAAATACAAGGTTTATGGGAAAAATCAAGAAATGATATATACTAACAATGAAGGATTTCATTGAAGGATTTCCAGACGTTTCAGATAATTTATTTTCAATTCATTTCCGATCATTTTTTGGATTTTCTTTATTTTTTAAGGCTGAACAGGAAAGTTGAAGATTTTTATTTCGTTTGAATTTTATTCTAGTTCTATATCATGTCATTGTACAAATATTACAAAAAATCTAGCATATTATGAACATTTTTTAAATTGAAAATATAAGAAAAAATAATAGTTTCGGGTGGGACATATGCAAAAAATCTTGTATAATATATACATTTTTTTATTCAAATATTATAATAGAATATAATTAGATATAATATTTTAACTGAATGCCAAATCAATGAGAACCAGCTGAGCTTGATTTCTTGCAACGAGATCTGGGGACAACGAGATCTGTAACGAGATCTGTTCCATCTGAGGACAATAGGAGATATAGTGACACCCGAATTAAGTGTCTTGCTGATGTCAAGTTTGTTTCATTGTTTTGTTTTGGTTGCTGTCACTGCAGAAAACCCCGCTTCACACAGATAGGGGGAAGGAAACGGCAATAGGGATTTTAATCAGGATACTCCGCAATCTCAGGGTACTCCGCCATAACTTTGATCCAAAACACCGCCAGAGTTGTAGTCTCGAACATAGTTTTAACGGAACGGAATAATTATTTTAAGATATATAATCGACGATTTGTTAAAAAAATATTTTGATTTTTAGCAGGCGGAGAGGCCCAGTACGATTTGGTCCACGGCCCAGTACCGGGCCGCGGACCATGGGTTGGAGACCACTGGACTCTTTCGAATAAAAAGCCACTGCGGCTCTACGACCTCGATATATGCCACGAAATTTTCTTGGAATGCATGTTAAGTACAGAGCTGTAAACTGTTTGATTTTTTATAGTTTTTGAAACGCAGCTGCATGAAGATCACCAACCAAATATTATATCCAATATGAGCTGTACGAAGCAGTTATCACTTGATTAGTGATTAGATAAGTCAGTATCCACACCAGCGCTGCAAGTGATATAGTTTGTGGCACGGGTTATTGCCAAACGTTTCAACGTATAATTTTAGCTGTTCGTCCATCATTTCGGAGATATACTGTTGAATTGTCCAAACATTTTCTTACGACTTGGCAATCGCGTGAGCTAAGTAATTATGATCGTAAATATAATAATAAAACATGAATCGTTGCATGATTTGACTCAAGCCTGCGCCTC